TCTGTCGATCGAAGAGAAGAAAATTCGATGGTCTTTGTCCGTTTCGGTTTGAAAGATGCAGCATTCGACCGAAACTTGTTTCCGTACTTGCTGGGCTTCCTCTGAGGCATTGCGACGATATGCCCACTGGCTAGGGCTGGATCACTGTAGGAGGTGTGAAAGTTGGTTAAGCATGGAACGCAAACGTTAAGTATTAGTTATTAGTAGAACACAGAATGGGCATGTTTGGTGCCTGCCAAATTGTAAACTTAGTAGAAAATTGATCAAATTTTGAAGGCCCAGTGTACTCAATCTTGTTAACTCAGATCATGCTAAGCTACTGAGAAGCCCAAATTTGGTTGCCAATCTGCGGGTGCCACCGGGACGCGTTCGCGTTCCACTATACGCGTGCCTTTGGCCAGACATCCACCGCCCACGGTAAAATTAACCAGGGTTGGCAATATCAGGATATCTCCGGATCATATCTTCTCCGATCGATCATTGTTCCTGCAAGAGTCTGTCAGCGATCTAGGTAATAGTACGTGTTGACTGGGCTTAAACAACAATTCGATATAGGACATACGCCATGGCGGGGGACACTCTGGAATCGTCTACCCCGAATATTGAGCAGCATAACACCTCCCAAGAAGCCTCCCAACAAAACAAGCCCAAGCATGAATTCCCCAAATCACAGGTCGGAAAGCTATGGGATGCTTTTGGGAACCCCGAAGAGTCTGCAAACGTGTTAGCAACAGGGGCTGGACCCTCTGGGAGGGGCTCGAAGGACGCTACGGTTACGGAAGCTATGAAGTCAATGTCCCTTAAAGATGTCACATCATTCTACAAAGCACCTTGCGCACGAGACTCCCTACTGCTGGGTATTGGAGCAGGGTTCGGAATCGGTGGCATCAGAGGTGTATTAGGAGGTAAGTTACTTCATTCACTCGGATTTTATTAGGACATGACATTTGGTAACCCTAAAACAATGATTGTTTAGGATTGCGCTCATTATGGACCGCTTCCAATTGGGCCGTTGGCGCATTTGCCCTCACCTCTCTCGCAGCGCACGAGTTCTGCCAGCGGCGTCGAGTACAAGAGTTGGACGGTATGAAACAAGCTGTGGAGTTGATGAAAGAGCTGAAGATTAAAAAACAGCGAGAGAAGGAAGAGAAGGCCGTGGAGGTCGCGCGCTTGGCAGAGGAAGAGAAGAAAAAGCAGAGCTGGACGAACCTTTCGAACTATAAATTCTGGTAGCCCTTTCGCGCATTTCCCGGAGTCATGGAGTTTGCTGGGATCACTTTGTAAATTTCGAGTGGGATGTACAGTACATATTTCTATCTCATCAGGCTCCAGCCTGTCAAGGAAGAATAGTTTCGTGATCGCATATCAATATCCAAACCAACGCCAGCTCCTTCATATCCCATACTCCATTGCATCAAAAGTTGCTCCAATCCAAAAATTTGGAAGACCAAGGGCAAAAAAAAAGGAAAAAAAGAAAGAGAAAAAGAGAACAAGAAAAAGAAATAGCAGACGAAGACCAGTCAGACGTCAAATTTGACTCTCTTCTGAATGGCGCCCGACTGAATAGTTCGTAGCTTTTCGAAACCAACAGCATCTCGTTTTTCCCTTCTTTTTTCTCGCGCTTCCCTTGCCTCACGACTCTTCCATTCCGCAAGCTGCTTCTGCCTCTTCTGTGATCTGGACCAGGCCATTGCTGCTGTCGGTCTAAAGCCTATTCCATTGATACCATATCCATCGTCGTTCGGATCACTTGGATCATGCCCGGTTATCTCGGAGTCGTGCCATGTAAGCGAGTCGTCAGCTGCACTGCTAGTGGGTGGCGGTGACTTCCTACGTGGTCGCTGTGTTTTTGTGGGTGTCCGTCTCTTGCGAGGGCTTTGTGTTGCCTGTTTCTTGGGAGACGGAGTTGGTGTAGCATTGCTCCGATTATCGATAATTGCTTCAGAAGGTCCACTCGCGACAGTGTTGGTTCCTGTCACTGAGTTCGTCTCAGACATATCATAAGAACTGCTATAGGAAGTAGCCCAGCATCCCGATTCTGCGTAATGCGCAAGTGATGACTGGTTTATATTACCATTCAGAAATTGCGGTGTCGGAAAGTGGTCCCCACGTATGGCCAGCTGCCCTAGGCGACCAGCAACGGCGGCTCGAGGACTATATCTCCCGAACTCTTCTTCCTCGCGAAGCTTCACTTCTGGTAGGCTAGGAGCTGAGACGCTAGATGGAGATGATATAGAAGGGCTGTAGCTATCGGATTCTTCTGAAGCGCTGCGCTTGGGCTTGGGCGAGTTCAAAATCATTGTCGGTGAACTCGTAGGCATCATCGCGGGGCTGAAACTGAAGGCGGATGTGGGGGCATCACTTTCATAAGCCTTCATCGATAAAAGTAGAGACTCTCAAGTTCACAGGAACAGGGATTTCAGCAGATCAGCATCTTCTATAGGTCCTATCCCGAGCTAGTATCACTTGCAGCCATCATAGCTCATATAAATGGAGGATTGCGGAGTATGCAAGGGCTCGGGCCATCGCCATTGACTGAGAAGCAATGGGGTTGGCTCATTGTTCGAGAGGGGGTTTGCGGCAGGTTGTCTCAGTGGACGACGGCAGTACGATTCCGCCTTCTTTCCGATCTACAACGCCATGGCAATGGAATAATTGTAGGGCTGAATGAGTATAACATAGTAGTCTAGCAGGTACTAATGTACAAGTACCGCATGATGCTCAGATCCATGTAGAACATAAAAATCCGATTGACATTTTCAGGAGCTACAGACAAAATTTTAGCACGACGGAGGCCTCAATCGAATAATTTACAAATACCCAGCCCAACAAGTCGTGAAGTAAGTAAAACAGAACATAGATAGGAAAATATAAACTCAAAATCAACCCTACAACGCCGCGACAATGACGCCCTCGTGTCCCAGAAAATGGTGCATTTAGACCTTCTTCTTCTTCTTGGACGGCTCAGCATCGCTGTCGTGCTTCCGCTTCTTCTTCTCAGACTCGCCCTCACCAACATCGGACTTCCTCTTCTTCTTCTTCTCTTCCTTGTCGCCCTTCTCCTTCTTCTTCTCCTTCTTCTCGCTCTTCTCCTTCTTTTCCTTCTTCTCCTTCTTGTCCTTCTTCTCCTTCTTGCTCTCAGCCTCAGCATCTTCCATCTCTTCATCGCTCTGATCCGCATCGATGTCCATATCAGCTAAGACAGCATCCATGGCGTTTTTCTGTATGCAACGTTAGTATATTACCCAAAAGTTCAAAATAATGACGATAATAAAGGATAACATACCATGGCAATTTCATTCTTAGTAGGGGCTGCTCCGGTAGCATAGAACTCCAAACGCTCCTCGACTTGCTTCTTCAGGGCTTCACCAAACTTGGTCGTAGGCTCCTCAGAGAAGTTATCGATTCTAGAGGCGATAGAACACTTGTTCGCAAGGAATCGAGAAATCCGGCCCTTATTCTTGGGGCCAGCCTTGCCAATGAAAGAGGAGTGGTACAGAAGACCATACTTGGGAGTGTTTCCCTTAGTCTTCAAGGCTCTGAAGAGAGCCTTCTCAGCACCAAGAATCTGCACAGTGGAAGCGGGGTATTTGGAAAGGTTGGTCAAGCTTCCGGCGTGCGAAATGAGACGAGCACCAACGATCTCTCCAATCAAGGCAGCAAGATTGGGCGCAACAACACTCATCTTGGAAGTCAGGTACGAATGCAGAGACTTGCGGTACTGGGAAAGGCTGACGACTCTTTGCGCAAAAGCGGTGACGTTCTCCATGTCGGTTTCAGAAATCTCTTGGCCCATACTGTGCTTAGCAGCATCAATAACGCTTTGGGCAACACCCTCATCGTCCTCCACAAGAGCAGCAAGATCGTGCAATTTGTCGTCAGTCAAAGTGGTCTTGTCCTTCACGAACAGAGCGATTTGCGCATAGCGCTGGTTGTCCGAAACGATCTTGATGAGCTCAGGGAAATGCCACGAGTACCATTCCCGAACCCTCATAGAGAATGTGTTAATAGCCTTGTCAAGCTGGTCAAGGATAGCAATTGCCTGGATGATATGGTTATCGTCACGCTGGACAGAGAACTTGACCTTGGCACGGGAGTAAGCGTGACCAAGACCAAGTTGAGCAGTGTCCATATCACCCTCACGGAGTTGCTTCAGCAACTTGGTAGCGTGAAGCCTGATACCACGGAGCATGTCTTGGACAACCTCGCTGGTATCGCCGGTTTCGCAGTCAACGAAAGAAAAGGCAGACTTGATACTTCCGGCCAATGCCTTGTCCAGAACGCCCAGAACAACCTTCTTCTTCTTGTTAGGCTTAGGAAGGTTCAATTCGAGGAAGGAAATAAGAGTATCGGAGGCAACACCCTCCGAGACGTCGTTGATTTCGCTCAAAGCCATCTTGTTGTTCCTGGGACTGGTCAGTACTTTATTGAAAAGCCCAATCAGGAAGTCGGACATACTCGAATGGGAGGAAACTAGCCAGTTCAACCATTTTTCCAAACTTAGAAAGATCGTTAACACCATCCTGAACCTCCTTCAAGCGATTGCCAACGCTGTCACCCTGGTGGGCGACCTTGAAAAGTCCGTAGCCCATAGGGCCCTCGAATAGTAGGAAGTCAGCCATGGTGAAATTGAGTCTAAGGGCCAAAATAACAAGGAAAAAAATTCCTTCAAGTGTAATCGATCGAGCCCCTTACCCAAATCCCGGGTGTCTGCGGTCGTAGACTTGCCGTGGAGCGCCGTGGAGTTGGTAAAAAAAAGGCTGGAGGGCAAATTTGGAGAGTCGAGCCGTCGGAGCTCTTTTTTTTCGCGGCGGCGCGCTAGTGCGAATACTGAATGTGGGCTTTTTGCCAAAACTACGAGCTCACCGCATTCGACGGCAAACACCACCAGCTTTGTGCCAGTGCGGGCTATTCTTTGGGGCCGATAGCACCAGCAAGCCTGTTTTTCTACAAGTTAGTTCGCTGGGGATTGCTGATTGTTATTTACCTATTCAGCAAAAATGTCTGCAACTCAGTTACTCAATCCCAAGGCCGAGTCGAGGGTATGTCACTGATAATTTCCCCCTCAGAAGTAGCCCCTCAGTGGTCACGCAAATTAACATTGCACAGCGGAGGGCGGAAGCCTTGAGGGTCAATATTAGTGCTGGTGAAGGTCTCCAGGATGTTCTTAAATCTAACCTGGGCCCCTCCGGGACATTGAAGATGTACGTTCTCATACCTGATCGATGCAAGACGGGAAAGCGCTGACAAAATTTAGGTTGGTGGACGGTGCCGGCGGAGTATGATATATTTCCCCTTATCGCAAAATCAGCTATCTAATGAGCATGCAAAATAGATCAAATTGACTAAGGATGGGAATGTGCTATTGCGAGAGATGGTAAGGCTTAGGCAAATCTATGAACCTTCAGGCACCGGCTAATGTTTATAAAGCAAATCCAAAACCCAACCGCCGTAAGATGCCTTCCTCACGTTTCCAGAGACTCCTTCGAATACTGATTTGGCGAAGGTCATGATTGCCCGAGCTGCGACAGCACAGGATGATATCACTGGTGATGGAACAACTTCCGTGGTGTTGTTGGTGGGAGAACTTCTGAAGCAGGCAGACCGTTACATTTCCGAGGGATTGCACCCTAGAGTAATCACAGATGGATATGAGATCGCGAAGAACGAGGCTCTTAAGGTCAGTACTGAGAGACTGGTGGCCATATGAGCGTCGAGGCTGATACGTTTGTATACAGTTCCTTGATCAGTTTAAGATTGAGCGTGCAATCGACCGTGAGCTGTTGCTGTCTGTCGCTCGGACTTCGCTCAGTACGAAATTGAACAGTGCACTTGCCGAGAAGCTTACCCCCGACATCGTCGATGCCGTTCTCGCTATCCACAGAGCTCCCGAGAAGCCAGATCTGCACATGGTTGAGATCATGACCATGCAACACCGCACATCTTCTGACACTCAACTCATCCGTGGTCTTGCCCTGGACCACGGTGCAAGACACCCTGATATGCCTAAGAGGGTTGAAAATGCTTTCATCCTCACCTTGAACGTCAGTTTGGAGTATGAGAAGTCAGAGATTAACTCCGGTTTCTACTACTCTTCTGCTGAACAAAGAGATAAATTGGTGGAGAGTGAGCGCAAGTTTGTGGACTCCAAACTGCAGAAGATTGTGGAGCTCAAGAAGCAGGTTTGCGGCCTGGATCCGAAGAAGAACTTCGTTGTCATCAACCAGAAGGGTATCGATCCCCTGAGCTTGGATGTCCTTAGCAAGAACGGTATCCTTGCCCTTCGGAGAGCTAAGCGGAGAAACATGGAGCGTCTCCAGTTGATCTGCGGTGGTGTCGCCCAGAACAGTGTAGAGGATTTAACGCCTGACGTTCTCGGATGGGCCGGTCTTGTTTACGAACACCAGCTCGGGGAAGAGAAGTATACTTTCGTCGAAGAAGTTAAGGACCCCAAGTCCGTCACCATCCTCATCAAGGGACCCAACCAGCATACCATCGCTCAGGTTAAGGATGCCGTCCGTGATGGCCTGCGGTCTGTGTACAACTCTATCGTCGATGGCTGCGTCATCCCCGGCGCTGGTGCGTTTCAAGTTGCCTGTGCCGCTCATCTGTCGTCCGAGAACTTCCGCAAGACTGTGAAGGGTAAGGCTAAGTGGGGTGTCGCCGCCTTTGCGGATGCCCTTTTGGTCATTCCCAAGACGCTTGCGGCCAACTCAGGTCACGACATTCAAGACTCTTTGGCAGCCCTGCAAGATGAGCGGACAGACGGCAACATTGTTGGTTTGGATTTAACTACTGGCGAGCCGATGGACCCCGTGCAGGAGGGTGTCTTCGATTCCTTCCGTGTCTTGCGCAACTGCGTCGCATCAAGCACTGGTATCGCTTCGAACTTGCTTCTGTGCGACGAGCTGCTGAAGGCCAGGCAGATGGGTAAGCAGGGAGGACCAGGTGGTATGGATGAGTAATGCTGTCGCAACGTATAGATCAGATCATGTAAAGGAGCTCGGAGAGGATTTATATTCGGTTTTCCGCGTTCAAAAATAGTTGATGCCAAAATGTATTCCATAAATACAGAACGCCATGCTAATGAGCTTGGGCAATCTAATGTGCCCGGAATAATTAATCTACGCCGGTGGTGGCAAGATATCCAAATCATTGATAGAGGTTGGGCTGTTACACTATGAACAAAAACAATAGAAACAGCAACCGAAGAGGGAACAACAGCCCGTACGATGCTCCAATCGATGTAAAGTGTCCATTCATTGTCCGTATGCGAGTGGGAAGGCGCATATGGCTCTGGCAAAGATTGGGAATCAGACGGTACTTCATAATGCGTGTTCATTCATCTAGCTCGGTTTAACATAGAGTTCATGAAATTCTATCATCATATACTGATACTTACTGGTTGCCAGATCTGGCGTCGCCAACATTAATTTGATACATTTACTCATCATCCTCACCACTGCCTGAATCGCTGATTTCAGGTGTATCGCGTGGTGCCCATCTTCCTAGAAAGCCCTCATCTCTAACAGGATCTCGCAAAGTAACACGATGAGCTTTTGCCCATTCAAGCACATCGGATTTTCGTATCATCACTGTTTCGCCGCCGTCAGGTTCGCCAGCATCTTGATTAGCCTTGCGTTTTTTGGTCGGTGTTGTAGGTTCAACAACTCCCATGCCTTTGAGAGCTGTGATGACGTCTTCCGTTAACATCCCGGTGGCCAATCCTATATCCTGTACTGTCATGACTTCATGGGGATGCTTTTTTCGAGAGCCCTTGGACGGCTTGGGCTTCTGCTGTGGTGAGTCCTCTATGTCTGCAGGATCAGAGCCATGTAATAGTAAATATCGAGCAATTCGTTCCTCCCAGAATCGACTATAGCTCTTTCGTCCCATCTCACTTAATGGTTTTTCCGGCCCACCTATCAAACCTCCATCTTTTTCCCAATCACTCAGTTTATAACTCACACCCATCAACAGCTTGCCCAACTGTTTATGCTGATACGGAGGGAAGATCAAAATGCAAGCAAGGTTGTTCGCATCCCATGAGAGCTTCTCTTTTGAGAAGAATCCCAGGATATAATAGTTCTCCGGGTCATCGGGGTCCGTGAACGTGAGGAGGTAGTAGAGAAAGGACGCGACATCGAAAAAGACCGACTTATGATCGAGGAATAGTTTCGCGAACAGGGAGAGATTCTGCGCAAATAGTTTATGGTCCTCACCGTCTACCTCCCATACGGCGTACCCGCCATGGTCGTAGACCTTTGTCCCCGGAGGTATCGTTCGATTTTGGCAAACCCGTGTATGTTTGGCATAGGCGTCTGTGTCGCACGAATACCGGAAACACCAGCGACAGACGTATAGCCGATCCGTATCCTTGCTCACAAGGTCTTCTGGGTAAATGGACTGGTACCAGGTCTGAAAAAGGAGGTCACCTAGCACGACGTGTTTCACGTTACGGTCCGCGGGCGGTTTCGTGTGCGACGGGACATTGTTGGGAGGCGCCATGGAGTGTTTGCGACGAAAAAGGGCGAGGGGATATCGAGAGGAAGCGGGAGGGTCTTTAAAACTCCGCCCGGTGAGCTATGGGTGTGGATTTGCCTTTGATACTTATTTCTGAAGGGATGGCCATTGGCGTGGTTGGTATAGGACGGGTTTGTCGCGGTCAAAGAGAGCGGGTATCACAGCGTTGCGATAGCTTTAGGAATAGAAAACCACCGATTTCAATCAGAAAGAAGGTTCAAACCAAGTGAGAGTGTGTGTTATGACATACTCAATTGAGGAGGAATGGTGATCATATCATAACAATCATGAGAATACCAAGAACAAGACTGTTCCTGCCAATATTCAAGCGGCAGGTGCAGCACACATGAAAGTTCATGTAATAAAACATCAAATCAAATGGCTCGAAAAGGGTTTAAGCCTGCGGGAGTACGTAAGATGAGGGTCACTTGATAGCGGCCATATTCCAATCACTGCCCGTCATGCGGGGCCAAAGCTTTACCTCTAAATTTACTATCGCATTAACTCTACTATTAAATCCTTTGGTCGACCGCAACAAGCAATTCTCTCCTCCGTCTCCGACGAAACTAACTCGGTTGCCTATATCCCTTTCGAACTTGATTCGTTACACAGCTTTTCGCCATCCGGATGACAATGGACAACGTTTTCCTTTGGTAGGTAGGAAGAGTAGTCACCTACCTACCGTCTTAACCTGCTTTTGCCATCGCTCTCGCATAGGCAACAGCATAGCCTCTCGTCACGTTTGTCTCATCAGCAAGCTTCATGTTACTCTCGACCTCTGGCTAGTTCACCTCTAATCTCGCGTCTCCTGTTCTTTTTTACCCTTTATCTTGAAATCCATCGGTCAAGTTAACACGATCTCGCCTCTCGTTTCCCTGGCTTTCTATTACGCTGTCATCTCTCTCCGAATATACCCTTCCCGTTGCCCCGAGCGGCTATTTTAGGTGAAAGCCAAAATGTTGAAACCGTTTCAGATAAGGGATCTTCATCGATCTTCATCCCAAGACAATCTCGCTGCATCTCAAAATCTTGATCATGCCGTGGTAGAAGACCGCAGTACCCTTCAGAGTCACCACCAGGGCATTGTCCGGTTATCTGCTACAGAGTATGATGAGATAACAACGAATCATCCTAGAGCCCGGCTTACATACGTCGATGATGATGACGACGAGCTCATCACGGTATGTCTCCTCATACAAACTATATCTGTCTACTATACTAATAGTGGATTATAGGTGGGGTCATCTCTCGAGCTTTCCCAGCGTTTAGAAGAACCCATTGATACTTCCGCCATTCCACAACCGACGCTAGATTCTATCGCCCCTGAGCCGATGCATATATTCGACATTCGACGGTCTAACTCAGTGAAGAACCTATGGAAGAAGTTTGAATATAAGCCCCACTTAGAAGACCATCAGGGTAGGAATGAGATCGGCACGGTGCCTGCAGCCGCGGATACTTCTCAATCCAATAATTCACAAGAGGAGCCCGACCCCAGTTGCGAGAATCCCGGCCCCGCTACTACCGATGTTCCAGAACCGCTCTTGGCCGCATTTGAGGCTGAGATGGCCAGGATTTTGAATACCACTGGCACCGTGCGTGACGGTAACGCTCAACCAGATCCTCCGGTTGAGACGCCAGCAAGAGCAGAATCCAATGACCGACGTCAGCATCCGAGCGATGCCTTTATACATGCTCTACATAACCTGGTCGAGGGTGCCGAAATGATTGGTGCTGGTGTGAGATCTAGGCTGCCTGAATTCGAGCGGCAGTTACAAAATGTCCAACGCACTCTTCCAGAACACGTTGAGTCTTCGGTGCAAGTAGCCCTTGCAGCTCTGGATAGTCAGGCGAGGAACCTGATCCAAGCACTCAATAACGCGTCAGTTATAGGAGGACAAAGAGCAGGGAATCTTTTCCACACTGAACTTCCTACCCCAGCCGCAACTATAGAGGGTCTTCGTAATATGGCATCTGAACTTGGCCACATGGGAAACACGTTGTTTGAGGCCTTCGAATCTGAGTTTAGATGCAATGTCTCAAGAAGCCAAGATCAGGGAGCCCCTGGAAATTCACAGCCAACCGAGCTCACCGCTGGCGCCCAGCCTGATATCTCGGCAACATTACCAGAAGCTCAGCAATCCACTCCAGCCGCAAACTGCGAGAACGAGAAAGAACCTTTGGGCATCGAGACACGAACTACTCCATCGACGCAGGTTGGATCACCGGAAAGCTCAGTACTACCCACGAATCGCAACGCTGATCCTTCGATGGCGTCACATCAACAGCCGGGGTCTTCGTCGCCGACATTACCACCAAGCCCAGAGATCCACACGCAGTTTCCTAGTTTATGGAACAGACCACAACCCCTTCCTCACAGACCTCATCTCTCATCCCGCAATGTCCGACCTTCGTTCGCCACGCCAAACATGTGCTATCCTCCTCCGCCATTCCCTGTACCTCCTCATTTACCTCCCGTGTTCTGGCCACACCATGGACCCCCTCCGCCTCATGGACATCCTCACGGACCTCCTCCTCCTCCCCCACCACATGGCTTCCTTCCCCATCCTCCTCACCCACATGCTCACGCTCATGGGCCTCCTCGTGCTCCACACCACGGGCCATTCTATCCCCCGACTAGTGCCCTGCCTGTACCTCCGCGACCACCTCGCCACCGGCATAGAGACTGGCCTGCGTCCCACCATAGGCAGAATGAGAATGGAGCACCGGCACCTGAGACAATTCGCCATTCTGAACACGACTTACCCTCCACGGCTAGCTTTGCCGGAACATCGCTTTTCATTGGCAATGTGGGATTCGGTGTTCACGAAGCAATGATCCGCGATGTTTTCGCTTCCAAGGGATTTTTAGTCGATGTACATTTGCCGCTAGATGCAGAGACAGGAAGACACGCAGGCTTTGGCTACCTGCGCTTCCCTTCCATCCACGCAGCAAAAGCGGCATTGGACGCATTGCAAGGTGCTCATATAGATGGACACTCTATCAATCTGGAGATCAGTGATCACCCTCCAATCACCACACTGGACACATCACAGGGCCGCGAAGAACATTCCAATCAGCCGCCAGCGCCATCGGAGCTTCAGTCTTCCTCTATTGCCCCAACTAGAGTGAGGCAGGCGTCTGAACCGCAAACTCATGGAGAAAATGGTTCATCCCACAAGCAGAGATCGGCGCCCTTGGCTGTAGCGGACCTCTGCTCGAGCAATATCCGCCAATCTAGGACGCCGTCTAGCGAAACCAGTTTGGTTGGCTCCTCACTTTTGGACTCGGAACGACTCAATACTCTATATCCCTCGCTCTTGCCTGAAGGTTCTCCTCAACAACCTATGGTAAGCAACAACACATCTACGCAGCTCCCAGATCTCAGTCGTGAGCCGGAAGAACGCCGTTTCCCACCAGTGTCACAGTTGGACGCACACTTTCTAGCTGAACGACGTGGCGGGGCAGAATCGTCTAGTGAAGCTTCCACTTCCGGAAATAGATCGACTCTCCGGAGGAGTGTCGGGGGCGACAGCCATGACAGTTTGTATAAGCTGACACCACAAAACCTCCCCGGTGCATTTCCCCAGGACCCTCAGGATAGTTACCAGCCACGCCCTTCGTCGCTGGAAACCGATGCTACGCAGCAGCAAAACAACAACGATCGTATGTCTGCCTCATGCTACCGCCGTCGCCCCAGGACTGTGAGGTCTTTCCATCCGTCTCGAAGACATTCGGGTCCGTGGGATACCCTACGGGCTGAGGAGTCTCATGATAATACCAGGCCCCTGAGGCGACGGGCTACTGAACGTCATTCCCTCCGGGATGATAGGGAGATGGGTTCGACGAACACCTTCAACCGGCGATCATACCGCAGTGATGCCATGCCCCGCCCAAGCACATCTACGGCTGAGAATGGTGCTGGAAGACAACGCAGCATCGATGACTGTGTGTCTGCACTGGCTAGCTTGGGCTATGGAGGCGCCGAGGAAGGTGGACTTCAGAGGATCGCTGTGTATGCGGCAGCAGTGGATGGCAGGGTATCAGATGCTATTGAGATGATTGAGGAAGAGCGGAAGGCTTACGAGCAAAAAGGATCAATGAGGTGATGACTGCATTCTTTTGCTGTATTACTTTTGAACGGTCTCACTATCTAGGGTTGAGTCTGCCGCTACCCGTGTGCCCATATTCCTGCTTCTTGTTTAGTACTTTGTCGGGAGTTTGGTGTTCAGGAATGATTGCTATGTCCTCCTCCACCGTAGTACTGCTCTGGTGTAAGCGGGCTACTTTTATATTAACAATTTGATTTCAAAATCCTATCCTCTTTGTGAATTATTCCCCAGAATTAACCTTGTAGGCTTTATTGTATGCTTAGGATAAGCAAGGGGTAAAGTCAAGGGTAACGATATATAGAACGATACAAAATATATATATATATATATACAACAGCACATAACTTTCCTCGCGCTTTGCCATTCACGTTATGGGACCTTCAGGTAAATATTCGGATGCCTGATTATTCTGCACGCAATGTACTTGGAGCTGCATTTCGACAAACGCGCCAAATACCTTTGAAAAATGCTCAGTGGTTTAAAACCTACGATAAATGTACATTATACCATACTTTTCTCCTATCCTTAGGAATAATTAGACAGTATACCACAAGAACTAGTGGCAAAATCTACGTGTGTGATACACACTAATATCTATCTCAATAATTATTAATAAATAGGTCAAATAAGCAGCTCTTCCCTGTACAACAGATGTTTGATAAATTTTGACAAGCCCTTAGAACTACGGAGACTCGCTCCCCATTCTTTCATATTCCTTGAGCTACATCTCCGCTACCTGCTCTCTTCCAGATATAAAAGTATAGCTGAAAGATTTGGATTGTGATAAACTCATGCATGGCATATAATAGGTCAGGCTAAGGAAGGTTTTACAGTAGAAACTGTCGAGAATTTCTACCGGGTCTTCGAGACAGCTTTGGCTTAGACGTAGGTTTTCTGTGTTCTGGAGAGTTCTTCTATCCACTACTATGAAGGAGGTATATATTCTTGTGGTAGGGAAACAGACAACACGGGGTTCTCAGTGCTCGCCTGCTCTCTTGCCTAGATCAAAAGTCGGTGTAACTCAAAATAAAATCGCCACCATTCTCTACACGACATTCACCTGAGACTTGCGAATATATGACTATCTTGATACTCCAGGCTTCAGAATTCGGGTTCGCGATTACATGACGGCTGATGCAACCTGACCTAGATTCCTTGCTTGGGATGTTCGGGATAGCTTCTAAATACTAGCCTCTCTCTTGGATATTGGCCTCAAAGTCCGTCTGAGGTCAAGGTCTGACCGTCTGATATGTTTCATCCAGATCTTGATCAGGATTCTCAGATCAGGTTCTAACGCTGTTCATTATACTATGTAATCCAGAAGCAAATTATATATATATGTGTGTATATATTTAATCTCAATCAAGATAAGATATAACAGAGAAATAAAAAGAACAAAACTTCCATAAGAAAAGGCAGAATATAAATATGCTCCTAGAGTGTTTAACCAGTAAACAGCTATCTTTAACATAAAGTAGACTCCTAATTATCTTTTCGGATTTCTAGGTCTGTATTCTACTATCCAGTCTTTAACATTCAAATGTGCAAAGCCTTTTTAGAGTTTACAATTAATATAAGTACTGTTAGTCAGATTAAGCAAAGTCCTACAGTTCTTTATCTGACCTTGACAACCATCTAGTGGTATTAACAGTTGCTTTATTAACCTACCCTTTATTATGTGGTTTATCGCGATATCCGTGACATCCAGTAGTGATAAATATACAGTCTTCAAATCTCAACTCTATGGACAATCTGTATACTTTTTAGTAATATTTGAATAAATCCTTATAGAGGGCTACCAGTAAGCAGCAGTTCTGCATAGAACGAAAGATAATGCTTTAATAAGAAGCCTTGAGGCTGTATTTCGATGACTATATCTTTCCAGTGTTTAATTTTGATGCGGAAGAGCTTGAAGAGCATATTTCAACTGCAATAGAGCATGCTATGCTTGCAGACATGTGCAATAATTCCAGGGTAAAATATATAGTATCTAAGGATTATACAACCCAAAAATATCCTCCTTTCAAAGAGGTGGACCAGTTGATATGACCTGTGTACATCACCATCCACCGCTCTACATAGTTGAAGACCACATTTTCACCCTCGTTGTCCTGCTGTTGTGATAGAGCAGCAGAAGGCTCAAATATGCATAATTCTTCGAAGCCCAGTAAAGCAAACAAAGGCTTTATATCGCCTCCATCACGTGGCCACAATCATGAGGCAGTGAATGCCACCCATTGCACACTGCGCAGTAGGTGAGCCAACATGTGGCTCTGTTAGACGCCTTTGAGCAGGCATCTCAGATGGTTGAAATCCACGCGTTTTTGTCTCGATTTCCACCTCATTAGTTTTCACCACTTCATCGCCTCATATGCTTGTGAATCGACTGCTTTCTACCGCTGGGGGTCAAAGTGTGTTGGATCTACTTCTTCTCATTTTGAGTTAACCCTGGAATACTTCTGCTCCCCCGGATAACACATCGTCCGTCATCAAAATGGTCTTTTGGGTGGAGCCCAAAGCTTGCACCAATTGTGGGCTGATGCAAGAGGGTCATACGCGAAAAAATTGCCCGCATATCGAGTGCTTTCGCTGCCACAAGCATGGCCACATAGGTGATGACTGCCCGAACACTGAGTGCAGCTACTGCCGCATATTGGGGCACTGCAAAGCCAAGTGTCCTAAGCTCGAACGTAAGAACCGTAGCCAACAAGGCCACAAAATAGATGAATGCACCTCACTCCCCTCGTTGACAAAAACGCGGGCAGGAGCTGCCCGCATAGCTCATTTCCTGTCTACAGATTCTTGCTCATCTATGCTCCCTCCACAACATGTAGAGGCTTCCCATAACACAGTTGACCCCCAGCCCGCACTTCTTCCAAAGGCTACTCATGAAACCACCATAGTCAGTTCTAAAGTGACCTAGGGGAAGCTTATCCACTAACTCAGAATCAGAATTCTTGGGAACTAGTCCCAAGCGTTGTCTTCCCAAACCTTCACGGCACGATTTGTCAGTTGGCTTCGCGTCTCGCGACTGATCCCGATATCTATCTGCAACGGCTTCCATATCACACTGTTATTACAAGTTATGGAGGTCCACAAAAGATAGCGGAGATGTTGCTGGGGTGGGTTGACCCTCATATTAGGGCACTTGAAGGTAGACTGCTTCAGGCAGGAGAGTATGTTAGACTTCTATTTTGATTATTATGGTTCTTGACATCTTCAAAGGCTTCTTAGTATCCAGGCACGTCAGAATAACATTTGGAGCCCAAATGGAGGCTATGTGGACATCGTCACAGACTTAAGAAACAACGAATACTGGCGTGCCTACCCTGGTCAGTCTAAGGGTCCATCAGATCGCATAAAAACCCATAATCGAGCAGTTCTGCGCGGATCTAGGAGCACACTACACTATTATGTCATTGCGCAGGGACAAGGATATCGAGCAGCGAACTGGCTTAAGCTTTGGGAAGTACCAAACAATACTCAGCTATCATGCACTTCTCGGGCTGTGGCTCTCAATGTCCTAGAAATGACGATGTGTCGCGCTTTCCAGTCACTTCCAGGGAGCACTTTAGAGGCTTATTATGGGCCAAGTGAGGACGGGAACCCCTACTCCAATCTTGGGTTGAATATCATTCCTCCTGTTTTCCAAGGACTCTCTCTTGGGCCTTCAGTACGAAAGTCCTTCTCCCTTGGTTTAGAAAAATCCCCGGATCCTGACATTCGTGGATGGCCCCAATTTCGTTACGAATATGGAAAAAAGGCTGAGAAGTCCAATATCAACTTTCAGCGCCCATTAATGCGATCCTCGGAGTTTCATGCCCGTTTTCGAGAAGCGATTCAGCATCTCCAGCTAAGCCAGTCTTTCTGCGGCAGCGAGTCCCTACCACACTCAGTTTTAAATAATTCCGAGATTTTGAACCTGTTAAAAACGGACCTAGAGCCAATAGATCTTCCCTGGGTCCAGCCTAACGGAAATTTTGAAGCGCTGGTCGGCTTCGTACTGGAAGATTTCCTTGATGCAGAATCAGCAAATTCGAGCAACAAAAAGATATCTATTCCGTGCCAATTCCTGGATAGTGGCTGGAACATGACAAACTCTCTAACCTGGGCTGCAAACCCGATGCAGAGAGATTTGGCTGAAATGACGCAGTCCTTCCGGTCAACCCAGGGGAGTGAGACTGAATTATTGATTGGATTCAACCAAACAATTATCCAGAATAGTGGATTACGAGTGATTCTTATGTGTGGGCGTGCAGCGCGGGATCTTGTTCTACCCACAGGATGCGAGGAAACATGCCTTAAGCTAGAATCTGGGGAGTTTCCTATGTTTTTTGACATCGAAAACGAGGCTATCAAACGGATCTATGTTCTAATACCCAATCCGATTGATGCATTTCTAATCCGAGAATGGCGAAAAACTCACAAAATATCTGAGGCGCTTCATTTCACATCAGTGATCACCAGGACCGTTGGTATTCGCCCCTACGCTGGTGATAATGGATGTGTCCTGACAAAGGCCATCCGAGATCACATGGATGAAGAGAAAGGAATTCAGGAACCTCTAACACTCAAAACTCTCCACCCAATGACTCGTCTTTGGCTTACACGTAGAGGGTTTGCAAAAGATGAGGACATCTCTCTCTTGCAAGAAAAAACAGGTGGGAGTCTTACCAACGCAATCCTTGTCTTGCTGCATATTGCCCCACGTCATTTTCGAAACGCCCCCACGACGTCTTCTATGAGCTCATTCCGCAGATCAGAGAAACGCCATGCTCCAGAGTTTAACATCGATAAAGCACAACTTGAAGCTGTTCGAGATCTTTGTGACCAATTGAGTGAGAAGCTCCCGGTCGATTTCGGCCATCCTAGTGATGGTTTAATCCAATGTATCAAATCCAGGGAGGAAGAGTTGGAGGATGATGTCGGGGAGGCTGATATTCGAGAGAGAGAAGACTTGGAAACTTCTGGAATTTGTGTTGATGGCCACGGGATCTTTACACTTGCCATTGAGACCCCAGTTACTCCATGGGAGAGGAAAAAGCCCCGTGCAGGTGCTGGTGATCGAAACTTCACTGTTGGAGACAAAACTCGAGAGCAACTCTTGCAAGGCCGCAAATATCTAGGGAATCGGACAAGAAGGCAGGGATGGTTTATTGTGACTATACATTCATGCATAGAGCTTTTCCTTCGCATTCGGGAACCTCCACAGGAAGTCATTGTTAAAGCCGAGATCAAGTCACCCGGCCAGCGACATCCACACACTTGGGCTCAAGAAGCGCTAGCTACTGACACTGGGTCACGGTTGGCGTTTTTCGTTACATATACAAGGGATTCTATGGAAACCTCATCCTATGTGACCTCAAATCTGGTCAGAGATCTCTATAAAGCCAACTCATTCGTTCACTGGATGGAGGGGGAAGACGTTGCAGACATTATTGCAAGGCCAAGGCAGTTTGTTGTTGTGAGCTCATTGACCGTAACCCTTCCTCGGGGTATCTCACAGCCTGGCTCTTTCTACACGGACGACCGTATTACCTTGATCCCTGCGAAAGAGTTTGACCCGCGCAAAAAGCACAAAATGGATTGAGTATGAACAGTAGCCAAGCTCCTTGTCAGCCTGATGGTATGGCATGATCCGTAACTGGAAAAGAATTGGCTCTAAGGGTTTGGTTCGTTGGACGTCGGGAGGACCCCCTTGGAGCAGAATCTTGTTAAGATAGATTTGATCGATCTAATAATGCCAAAGTACCAATTAGATACTAGCAGGTCTCCCAAAAACACTCATAGGGACTCGGGTATCTAAGACAAGATAGCTTAATAGAAAGGCAGACCTTCTCAAAAAGCTATCATATACCAGGAGCATACATAAAAAAGCACACCACAAAACTAAATACTGTGTCTCTAGAAAGGCCCAGGGCCGGGCTTTGTGGTATCTGTAAAGATAATAGTGGCGAGGGAGCATTCTAAAGTGCTGAAAAGAATTCGAGAGCATGTGGGTCCTATTGATGTTTGGGTATTGGAGTCGGCATTTATGAATCTTTTACAGCTTTTAGAAATGTTGAAGGACCGTATGAAAAGCGGGACCATATTCAAGAGTACCTATGGGTATATAGACCATTCAGGCTGTGCGATAGGGAAGAATACACAAAATAGCGCGGCTTCCTCGTAGAACTAAGGGCAGTACACGAAAAGGCTACCTGGATATCCTTTTCCTACAGCTAGTGGCTTGAGAATCTAGCAGCTATCCCAAGACCTAGTGGCAAGTCTTACTGATATATTACATATTCTCTCATATATGTGTAATGTTGAGAAATAAACATCAATTGCCCGGATGGTCTAGTGGTATGATTCGCGCTTAGTATGTTATCCTATATTCAATTATCAGTTGTCTTTTCAATTTACTAACAGCATCTCCAGGGGTTCACCCAAAGCATTGACTGCGCGAGGTCCCCGGTTCGATCCCGGGTTCGGGCCTATCTTTTTTTTGTGCATCCTAGCACTTTACAGTACTAGAATTGAAGTTCCCTGGTTTCCCCCGGCTCAGGATTTTTCTCTCCCTCTCTCTTTTGTCTATCATTTCGCATTATGTGGGTGGATCTGTGTTATAGCACTTGTGAAGGAAGGGTTAAGCCTGAATTCATTCGCTTGAGTGTCGTTGCTGTTGAGCTATCCATCCAGCTATAGGGATGGAAAGGATATATATTTACAGTCGATCCAGCGCTTCTGAGTAGAGGCATTCCTGTGACATCCATGGTTAGATCTGGGTCCTGATCTGTTACCCTCCTTCGATTCTAAGTATAAATGTCCGCCCAATTCGTGCTATTGATGGGGCAGCCAGTGGGTCATTCGTAGAGATGTGCTACTGAATCTTATGGGTAGGGCCAGCATCAGACTGCATCAAGTCGTCTGATCATCAAGTATCTGGGTACTTACTGCCGAACCAGGGCCTGCCTCAAGGCAAACGGTATTTAACTACGCAACAAAACAATGATATCAACCCTGGGTTGGGTCACTCAAATAAGCAAAGAAGCACGACTATTCTGATAGCTTTATTGTTGATTCTACCAAGTGACCCCAATCAAGGATTAGGATAGATTTTTCCCGGAGATCAGAAAATATAGAGGTTGAGTAAACCCAAGCAATGATCAATCCTGTCGATTCTAATGAGCCATGACCCCCTCCTCCCTACCCTCCCTTTATCACTATTGCTCCATCTAACATGGTTTATATATCCCTTATCGTATTCAAAATGCCATGTCCTACCATAATAATCCAATTAAACACCTGGATGTCCTATCTGTACTCTATTCTGGCCTCTCACTCTCCATATCTTTTACCCTCAGGAGATTTCCCCCCTCATTTGGCCTCGATTCTCGCAGGCTATGCCAACAGTAGTCTTCAAATATCGTCGGATGCCCTAGCGGACGATGGTGCACCCATGAATCGCTCCTCAAACACATGAAGCAGACTGCTACACAGCCTCTCGGCCTTTAGCCTCTCCCATGGTGGGTTCGCGTCCTGTCCAGCGTATAAAGACTTCTCGACATCAGCCGCGACCAACACGCTTTATCCGATCTGCCAATATCTCTTCGACTCAGTATGCTATGCTTCCGTCGAACTCGACCGGAGGGGCTGCAAATCGCCCACAAGTTGCGAGGGTGTGGATCCTTCATGGCCAAACTTACAAACGCAATATCACATCGCAGGATACGCTGCGAAACCTAGGTATGACAGTATGAATAACGTTATTGTGAGCCGTTAGGCCAACCAGGGCTATAGTAATGATGAACGCATCGCCATGGGGATTAGGCTTAGGACGTCTGTTTTATGTGATGATTGGGAGTGTGTCCCCTTGACAAAATTCGCAGCCACCTCTGGGGTAAAAACTTCAAGTTAAAGAACGAAAGAGTTGGTTTGTAAGGTGTCGTCATATTAAACAAAGGAAGCACACAAGAGAGGTAATAAAATAAGGTAAAGAGGTAAAAAAGTATAGGCCCGAACCCGGGATCGAACCGGGGACCTCGCGCAGTCAATGCTTTGGGTGAACCCCTGGAGATGCTGTTAGTAAATTGAAAAGATAACTGATAATTGAATATAGGATAACATACTAAGCGCGAATCATACCACTAGACCATCCGGGCAGTAGATGTTCAACTTGCCTTATTTTAGTCTACATAAGCGGAGGCTATATCATGGCAGTGATAGTACGGCAATGGTCTGGTTTGCTTTGCTCTCTTTACTACTCTATCAGCTTTCCCCCCGCTTAATTATCTTGTTGAATGGAGCATGCATTCTTATTGCAGTATGTCCACCGTAACATCTAACTAAAGGTTCTCTCCGTGACAGCAAACTCCCAGGCCCACATACCAAACAAGCCAAAGGACCAAAAGGTTCTATCATGCCTGAGACCCAGATAAGTAGCGGACATCGTCAGGCTTAGGTGGATGAAGCCTGGGTATCGCCTTATTTTATATGTCGACAGGGCGTTTTGTTAATTTCGAGGACAACTCTTAGGCTGAGGCTGAATGCTCCACTTTTAACGACAGCTCGATAGGCCGTTGCCTAAGGGCGTCAGGTGAGAGATTGGGCTGCCCAGGAATACTCAGAAAGCTGTATGTGAAAAGCTGCCTGTTCTGCCCACTACTCTTCTACTTTCTGTTCTGCCCCCTTCCTTCTTTGAAATTCTCCTCCTACCTTAATTTATCGTTAAGGTGAATTAGCTGCGCTCCAAGATTAATGCTGAATCCGCTCCCACCATCAAACTTCAACATGGGATCAATAGGCTAAAGACACATGATTCAACGTCAACACCAAACGACCAAAACCTTCACCTCCCGACCCCGGGAAATTCAACGGTGGTTCAATCAAGTATGACACAACATAGTAGGTCGTGTTAAACTTGCTACCAGCGGTTCTTCGGTTGGGAAAGATATAGCATAGCTTTAATATGTCTATCTCAGCCTTAACTTGAAGGTTCAAGCAATGGTTCTCCCACAACTTGCAACCGCTCGCGATAATAACATAGACAACTACAGAACGATCTTAAGCAACTTCGACACGTCTATAACAACCCACAGGAGATTCAAGAAGCCGAGGACTGTCTACTCTCAAGCAGGATACCGGCTCTGTCCAAGGTTTGCGGCTTATTTTGCCAGGTTCAAAGGAATTCTCTGCTCCCCGGCATTCCGCAAAGGTCTCAATAATACACTCCACAGTCATCTGTAGTAACTGCCCAGTCTTCCGCGTATATATTCAGAATTCCTTAAGATCGTACAATGTAACGGGCCAGAGCCCGGCAGTAAATGTCGGGGTAGCCTGCGTTGTAACGACTTCTTATTTTACTAACATAGTTAATAATGTTGATTCATGCCTACCATATATATAGTGGCCAAAGAAATGTCTCCTAGCCGGTTGTCCTACTATCTACATATTATATCTCGTTTACATTGGGGATACTAAGATTAATATCCCATCATATATAATCCGAACCCCGCCTAAAATATAGGTAGGCAGCAAGTATAAATAGAATTAGAAATACTTATCATGGCCGATATACTGTACTACGACAGGAATGCAGGCTCTGTTCAACAAGATAGCACAAGAAGGAGTGGGAGCCTCGTAGAACGAAGCAAGCACAGCAAACAACCCTACCGCCATAGATTTACTGTCGTGACATTACCACCCATTGAAGAAACCATCTAGTAGCCCCCCTTACATGGTGGGAAGAATAGCGGAAAGGAGGAAATTAAATAAATGTCCCCGTGAGCGCCTTGCAATCTCAATATCCATATCTCGGGCATCATTATCATCATCATCATCATTATGATCGTCGCTGTACTCCAAAAGTATGAAACATTTTCTGGCATACAGTGTTGTTGATAGGTGCATCTAAAAATAAATTCTATAGACAGGCACAGGGCGGAAAAAAGGAAAGTAAAAAAAGTCAGGCCCGAACCCGGGATCGAACCGGGGACCTCGCGCAGTCAATGCTTTGGGTTAACCCCTGGAGATGCTGTTAGTAAATTGAAATGATAGTTGATATGATATCAGGAAGACATACTAAGCGCGAATCATACCACTAGACCATCCGGGCAGTTGATGTCATTATTTTTCTATTAAGGTTTATATAAGAGAAAAAGTCTTTTCTCAGATTCACGGTGCCATCTTTACAGCCCTATTTACTTAATCTTCTCCGAATACCACCTGGGCACATTCTTACCTAGTTCCTAGCTTTTACCTTTGTAGTATTTGCATATAACTTCATAGGCCACAAGCCCAGGTAGCCACTGTTAATCAACTTGACTGCATACAACAGCCTCTTAACTAGATATCCAGAAACCTTACGTTTGCACGACATTTGTACGGTTGCTTTAATTTTCCAGATGGACACATTTGGAATCCAAGGTTAATTGCCTGCATCCTATACAACATAACACGGCAGTGAGCTGTCAAAGCCTGACTGAACTTGACATACACCTCTTATTTACTACTGATCTTGTTATTGATACTACGATCTTTAATATATCCATCCCTCAATAAGCCGCAAATAAACTTCGTATGATGTATACCTACTCAACCACTTTGTTTCAATACACCGGAGTTATTAATTATTCTCATAATTTAATAGTTAGCGCTAACAGA